AAAATTATCTTAATTCCAGAAATCAAACATGAACGGACAAAGTGAGATGGACAGAGTAATAACTTGGATGTGAACTTTGATATAGACAACAAAACATTAGAGTTCCAATCTACAAAGTTCAGCCCCCAAATTTTGGTACTTAAGAGGAAGTCACCCATGATAGGGTACAGGGGAGAGTTCCAACCTACAAAATATTTGATTAATTAATTAGAAAAGGTCATCGATTCCATTAGGCCATAACAACTGAAGAAAAGTCTGTTGATTGGCTACTCATGTAAGAAAATCACCCCAAATCTTTGTTCAATGCAAAATATAATATGTTAGATCAGTCAAGCTTGAATTTTCAATCCATAATCTTTTGTCCTGCGATTCAAATTCAGTGAATTTTCACAATAATAATAATAGTCAAAATAAAAAAAGAATTAGAGAGTATAAATGTAATTTATAAGATTAAGTTAACAGCTTCTTAAAATTTATTAATCTGAAAATTAAAAGTAGATCAACCTATTTTGGCCTCATGCTTAATCGTATGAATAAGTATTACATTCATAAAATAAAAAAATATTATAAGAGAAATTTTATTCATGAAATGGTAGACAAATACGACCAGAAGTTAAGGTTGCGTCCATGGTACCACCAACGGCTAATAAAATGAAATTCAATGTCGATGGATCAATTAGAGGAAAAACCATTCCATCCGGTTGCTGCGGAGGAGTCCTGAGGAACTCAAGTGGCATGCCCTTTGGGAATTAAGGATTCAAATTTTATGCATGTTGGTGAGGCTGCTTTGTCTCCCCTGCTATGAGAATACAATTCTCATTTGTTTTGTAGGGTATTTTTGTAGAACCATGGAGTTGTATTCTCTCTCTATTAATGAATCTGTTGAAGATTGAGACGAAACAAATTGATGAAGAATCAGTTCTAACATACCAGCATCAAACCACTACATAGACACGCATCATTGATACGGAATACCGATCACATTTAGACAAAACCACCTAAAAACAAATAAGATATTTGATACACAAAACCAAACTCAACCGAAGTCTCGCAACTGAACTCAATTTTAGAAATTAAAAAAAAAAAAAAGAGTTGATCATCCCACTTTTCGAAAAAAAAAAAAAAAAAGTTTTCTTGTATGTTTGTTTTCCTCCTCCAACCAGGTATGGGATTTGAAATGCGATAGAAGAGCATCACACAGCAAAAGAGATATCAAAATGGTATGGAGATAGTATACAATTGCCTTCATGAAGGAGGACCGACGAGGCTACTGCCTGGAAACCACCAGCAGATGTCGAAGGGAACCTTCCATCTTCAACACACCTCTTGGAAGCTTGAATTGCAGACTTTCTAATTAGCTCTCAGATTTTCAAACTTGTCTTTATCAAGCCCTTTGGTGAAAATGTTTGCTAGCTACTCATCTGTACTGCAATGGATAATAGATATCTCATCATTTTTAACTACCTCCCTAATAGCATGATCTTTACTTCTAATGTGCTTAGTCCTCCCATAATCTATTGGATTTTTCGCCATAGAAATAGAAGACTTGTTGTCAATCCAGAGTGCAGTAAGTTCACAGTTAAACTTCAGATCTTGAAGAATCTTTCTCAACCAAATTGTCTGGTTTGCAACTGAAGTAGCAACAACATATTCTGCTTCTACAGATGATTAAGCTACAATGTCGTGCTTCTTAGAGTTGCAAGCAAAAATAGCACTTCTAAATGAAAAACAATACCTACTGGTAGAGTCCTCCAAACTTCCACCCTAGTTATTATCACAGTAGCCTTGAAGCTCTTGTTTTTTAGCTTTACAAAACTTCAATCTGTAGTTCAAGGTCCTTTTCACATATCTGAGTACTCTCTTAGCAGCAACTAAATGAATCTTATTATTACATACAAAAACTTTTCATAAATCTCTAAGGGCAAACCCTCTTCAATTAGTAGTTCATTCTCTTTGTGGTTGTCTAATTTGTTAATATCAATCAAACTCCTAGAAAGACTAATACCAAATGGACTGTATTGAAGTATATGATTAAACATTGGCCAAAAAATTGTACTTTGATTGAACGAACAATTAGAAGCAGAGAGAGATGAATTTGGAAGGTCAAGTCAAGTAGAATGAGTATTAAATAAGTCAAGTAGGAAGCCTAATACCTAATTTGGGCTTAATATCAACCCATAAACAAAAAAGAAATACAAATAACAATAAAATAAAACCAAAGTTAAAATAAGTGCAAATAAAAATACAAATACAAAATATGGTAATAATAATTAAATTAAATAAATAATAAGTATTCTCCGATAACATCATCATTTCCACCTCCTGTCGTGCATCAAAACATGAATATCATCTTGAATTCCTGATTTCAAGATTCTGTCTTTCATCCTTGAACAATATCCTAGTGAAAAAGTAAAGAATCGTCCTTCAATTTTACTTTGTCGATGAAAATAATTGATATTTTCTTTATATAATTGTACTGAATTTCTCTTAATTTATCAGTATTCTTTGCATGATTAAATATCGAAATATAATTTTTTTGCTTGCATGGACTGGTTATATAAAAATTATATTTTTAAGATGCTATAAATATATATATAAAAGAGAAAAACGATTAGTAAAAAGAAGTACTATAATTTGTGCACTTACACTCTTTTGCTTCATCATAAGCAAAGAAGCACAGAATTGATTATACAACTTTAGATCATTAAATTAACCAGACTATGAAAAAAAAATAAAACACTTACACGTAGAATTTTGTTGTTATTTTAAATGATAACAACAAATGGAGTACTCCAGTAATATCAAAATTTACGTGTTTAAGAGGAAACATATTTTTTAATTATTGGATGAAGTAAAAAACTTTGAAAACATTCCCCTTGGAAATTTTATAAGATTCATGTACTTTTATATGGCTATAATAAAAAAAATACTGACATATAAGTAAGCAAGTTCATGCTTTTGATTTAATTGATTTTCATTTATTTGGTTGTTAAGAATTTTGTTTTTATATTATTAATAAATTTATGAAATGAGATGGACAGGGCAATTGACCTTGTCACATAGTTAAACAGTATAAATATAATTTCACTTAGAGATGAATCACTCACAAAGTAATTGGCTCTTGGATTTTAACTTTATTTTCAATCTTTTAAAATGTTAAAATTTTGAATTTGTTAATAATTGTAATAAACTTTATGTAGATGTGATTAGATTTAAATTGAAGGTTGGAAAAGGGAAAGGAAATATAGAGGGAGAAACAGATAAAAAGGGGAAAGTTGAATCGAAACAACATGAGATTTGTAATTGAAGCGGGAAAGGGCGTGTGAGGATGACGCGTAGGGGGAGAGGAGTGGCAATGGCCAATGGCGACGTTAACCCTACACCCTTTGCTTACTTACCATTATTACATCATAGTAATTTTAACAATATTGGTTAAACAGACTTACTTAGATGAAGTCAACTGTTATGTAAAAAAGCCTTTGGGGTTTCCTTTAAATATAGTTTTTTAATAATATTAGTTAAACAGACTTACTTAGATGAAGTTAAATGTTAAGCAAGTAAGCCCTTTGAGCCTTCTTTTAAATATAGTTATAGATTTATATTTTTAATAATATACTTGGTAGACGATTTTACGTACCCAAGAAGAAGACAAAGTTTGAGCAGCTCCTGTCCTCTTGAATAATTTACTTTGTTTCTTCTTTGGCGTTCAAATATTCACAAACCTATCCACGGTCAAATCAACCATGCCAGTTATTCTCTGATAACATCATCATTTCCAACTCCTGTCAGTGCATCAAATCATGAATATCAACTTGAATTTTTGGTTTGAAGATTCTGTCTTTCACCCTTGAACAACATTCTACTGAAAATGTAAAAACTGTCCTTTAATTTTATTTTGTGAATGGAAATAATTGATATTTTCTTTACATAATTGTACTGTATTTGTCTTAGTTTGTCAGTTTTTGGTAACGTAAATTACAGTATTTGAAGTCAGTTTTTATACTATAGGGGTTTGAGGATGATGCATGACTGAATTTAATAAATTACATTCTCTTTTGGTTTTCCATTCTTGTTTTCATGGCGTATTTGCATTAATCTAACTGGTTGCAGATTGTTGATGGATTTATTATGAAAAAAGAAGTGACGTGGATGTAACTATAAGACGATTGCGAAGCACACTATGATTCAGTTCCATTCCTTATTCACGTGAAAAAGATGATATGAATTAATGTTACATTTTGTTTCAAATTAAATTTAATTTACATGTTTAATAGTTTTATTTGAGGTTTTCTTTACATTTCTATTTATTCAACTTCTCATGATTTTTTCAATTTTATCATTGCATATTTGAGTGCTAGCATTGTTGCATATTTACATACAAATGTTGTTATTAATTTTCATGTTTTTCAATTTATATTTTTAAATTTATTTG